GGTGTGTCAGAGGCAATGAGATTGGCACAGGATGGAGCACAGTTTAGGGCTGTTGTACATGCGGTCGCTATGAGTCGCAAACAACTTGACGGCACATAACAACAACAATATTGCTATAAAGTGGGAAGATGAAATACTCATCTCAACACTTGCCCTCTGCATCTCATTTCAGACTCTTAAGCCAATTTACTGGCTCCTGAAGCCTTGTATGCTCCTCATGGCTCACATTCTATAGGTAGGGTAGTTGCACTGCAAATCCAAAATTGGTGTCTCTCTGGTGGTCTAAATCTACAAACGGTTCTTTGAGAGAAAGATGGACAATTATCTTCTTGTGAGATATACAGCCTTGGAAAACCTGTTGCAGGGTCAGCTAGGAGTCCTTTCCACGGGACAGCAATGCATATATACTTACCAGTACTACTTTACACCAAGGTTGTTGTAAGGTAGACAAAGGCTTAATTTGCAACATGTTTCTCAGAACCTTGGGGGTGTAAAGAATCATCCAAAATATGACAGCTGGGGTAAAGCTAGAAGGCTTTACTACACTCCTGGAAGACCCACTCCAAAGGTGTACCAAGGGTAAGGCCCAGACTTCAACCCCACCCCAACCTTTCATTTCGTTTCCACTTCTGATCTTCCTCATGCAAGTCAATCTTCCTCTTGCAAGTCACTCCCTGACTGGGGGCACTGCCCATCGGGGGTCTGCTGGACAAAAACAGGAGACTAGATTTAGACGCAGGAAGAGGCACACTGACCCTGGGAAGCCTGACCTTTGGCGAGAGCAGTTGCAGGACAAAGCAGAATATCCATCAAGGGTCCTGGTTAGAAGTTCTGGGAGGGAAGTGCGACTGGACCAGGCCCCTAGAGTCTGACCTCTGCCTGTGGTTACGGCATCCCCATACCAGCCCCTAGGCTGTTTGCAGACTGCTGCTGAAGCATGGAGAAGGCTGCTATAAGGAAGACCAACAGTCAGAGGAAAGGTTTCCATGTAGTGTCCGCACCCTCGGGGGTTCTTTAGTGGAGGCCAGCCAGTGCAGGACGACTCAAAACTTGGGGTCTCGCCTGATACAACGAAGATCTTTCAGGGCAGCACCGTGCTTCGTTCTCGCTTATTTCTACCGCTGGGGCACTGTTCTCCAGGGGAGAGAATGCAGGTCTTAGCCTGCTTTACTCTCTATCCCTGCAGGCACCTGTGGGCTCTGATGGATTCTGGGTCGGGTCCAGTGAGCTTTGTAGAGACGCAAATTGCAGAGCCTCGCGTTCTTTTTGCGGGGCGAACCCGGAGTTAGCGTGCTTAGGGGTAGGTGTGGAAGGGGTCTTCCGTGTGTCTGGGCCGGGCACCTGGGAGCCCGCCTGAAACCTGGAATCTGGCCCCCAGGAGATGGTCACCTTGGGCTGGGATCGAGTAAGGAGGGCAGAAAGGGAACTTGTATTCGAGCCAGAAACTCTGAGGCACAAGCAAGAGGGAAGGAAGCAACTGGACGCTCGGCAAGCGAAACCCCTTGATTCCCCCCACCCTGCCCGTTACGAGTTGCCAACCCAGCCGCGACAAAGTTAGGGCCCAGGAGTTGCTTCTGGGTCGAGTGGCCGAATGAGAGCGCCCTGCGTGGAGCCCTGGCCCGTCTCTCCCCGCCGCCCGGCCACCTCCAGCGCCTTCGGCCCAGCCTGGCGCCGATCGGGCCTGGGCCGGAGCGGAACCGGCTGCTCCGGGCGGGGCGCGGAGGCGGCGCCACCCGGGCCGCTGACGTAGAGGCCGCGCGGCGGCCGGGGGTCCCTTCGGTGGGGCTCGGTTCCCCGCCGCCAACTTGGCCGCCCGTCGCCCCTGTGCGTCCATTTCCCTTTTGTGTCCCCACGCGCAACCCCCTCCCCCACGCACGCCCGCGTCCTTGCGCCCGGGCCCGGCCGGCGCGCGGCCCCTGCGCCTGGGATTTTGAGCCCCGCCGGCCAGGCCGGAGCGCGCGGGCTCGGCCGTATTGTTGGCCACGGGCGCCCCGTACAGGGCGGGAGCCTGTGGTCGGTCGCCGCCCCTGCCCTCTTCCGCGGCGGCGCCCCCCGAGTGGCGCCCCCGCACCCCCTTCGCACCGCCGGGCCCAGGCCGCCGCGGGAGCGCAGCGAGAGCACACGGAAAGGCAGCGAGAGGCGCAGCTAACATGGCGACGGTGCCTGTGTACTGCGTCTGCCGGCTACCCTACGATGTTACCCGCTTCATGATCGAGTGTGACGCCTGCAAGGACTGGTTTCACGGCAGGTGAGCGCGCAGCCCAGCGTCCCACCCCGCATCCCACCGCATTGTCCGCCGGGCCCAGCCGTGCGTACGGACCCAAGTCCCCGCTACGGCGCCGGCCCCGCAGGCCCTGCCCGCACTCTTCAGTGATGGCCGCGGCCTCAAGCCCCTGGGGGGCTCCGGCGGTTTTTGGGGGCGCCCGGGGCTGCAAGGGCCGTTGTCCCGGGCGGCGCACCCGTACGTGCGGAGGGCGGGGGCGCGGGGCCCAGGCCTGGGCTATCCAGCTGCGTTCCCGGCGCGGGGGAGGCTAGCCTGCCACTCACAAAGCCAAGGCTGGCGGATGGGGAGCTGGCGGGAGACCCTCGCGCCTTTCTGCACCGCAGGCCCGCCCGCTGCGCTGCTGGAGCCACGGTGTGGGACGCGCCGGGATTCAAGTTGAGGGTGTCCTAGACGGCCCGGGCCGGACCGGATCGGGCGAGGCCGGACATTGCGGGACGCGGCGGTCGGGCACGCGGCGCTGACCAGAGGCCTAGGCCTGGTGCCCTCGTTCTCAGCCGTCCCCTTCCCCTGAGAAGTTGCAGGAACTTTCCCCACGCGGGCCGGGCTGGTGAGGGCCAGGAAGCGGGCGCGCAGTCCAACGCGGGTTCAGAGGGTTCTGGGTTGCAACACTTGGAGGACTGGGACGCCGGTGACCCGAGTGAGGGTACTCCCACCCTCCGTCAGGCTGGAGACTTCCCGGAACTTGGTAGGACCCTCTGCTCCTAAGCCACCCCTCTTACGGAGCTAGGGGCCAGCCTGCCATCAACGCCAGGAGTGTGGGTGACAGTTTGTGTATGGTGATGGTGTAGCTTTGCTGCTTCCTCTCAATCTTTGCTTTTCTTCATTCCCCTTCTCTGTTCCAGAGGAATGTTTGGTTTTGACATAGTCCCTTTCTCTCTAAGGAAAGTGGGGTGGGGTGGGCGGTTAAAAAGCTTGGGGACATTCAACACCTGATGGTAGCGACCTGGATCTGTGCTTAGTTTTCAAAAGGATAGGCCCCTTGTTACCCAGAAGTAAATGGAGGAGCAGGAAGAGGAGGTGACAGCGCCCAAACTGCCCCAACAGGTTCTCTTGCATCTGACTTTGTCTTGTGGGATGTTTGTGCTGTGCAGGGCTGGCCACCTTCTGGGGCTGCAGTCTCTTTGCCTCGAGCAGGGTGAGGGGAAAGGGGCTGTGTGTTGCGGAGGCCCCAGGCCTGCAGAGCGGAGAGGCTCTGCCATTTGACCTCGGGTCTCCCTGGTCACTCAAAACCAACCACTGCAGTACATTTGGGTTTACAGCGACTTGTAAAGTTGCTGACCCAAAGCCACGCCTCTCTGGTTGGTCAAATTCACCAGTGGCTCAGCAGGAGGACTTTGGCATTACCCTTCCCTGAGATTTACAGCCTAGGAACCCCACTGGAAGGTTCAGCTTTAGTTGAGTTTGAATGGACAGCGATGAATGACGGAAGGGAGTAGAACTGCCTCTTTGGGTTTCCAAGGCTGTTAAGTTTTATAGAAGCAGAATGCCTCATCTTTGTCCTGAGTTGTGGCTGATGGATTCAAATCTCTCACCTTTCCTTTAGCAGACAAATGCTTAGCCCACTGTACGTATACTGAATGGTCAGGCTGCTGGGTGCACAAGTGGTGAGGGTGTGGCAGGACCTGCCTTTGTTTGTCATCACAGTCCTGGCCTAATGCTGATGTAGAGAAGCAGTGATGTGGGAACAGTATCAGCAAGGACACCCTTGTCACCTCCACAGGGATGTGCAGGATGATGGTGGTCACCAGAGCACTGGCAAAACCATACCTGGACCAGACTTAGGTTGAGCTCACATGGGATCCTCAAGAACCACCCTCAGACCAAGGGGCTCGCTCCTTCTCCTCTCCTTCCATCCATAGTCTTTCCCTGCAAGCAGATCCCCTGCAAAGTTCCCAGTGTTCCAGCCAGGGGAAGATGGGAAAGGTTGGGATAGGGAAGATATTTTTCTTCCTGACTGGGTTGGGAAGAGGAGGCCCCTTCTGAACTGAATCACCCAAGACTAGAGATTTCAGGGCCTAAATGAGGAGAGGTCCTGAGAACAGACCTACGATTGATTTATTTGCTATATAAGATCTGACAGAGCGAGGTGGAGTTGTGACAAGTTCTGATACCTTAAAGATTTTGTTTTGGGAGAAGCCTCATTTTATTTTTAAATATGAGAACTTTGACTTGATCTAATGCAGCAGGTATTTGATCAGCTACAGATTTAGTCCCATCTATTTGGAGTACCCTGGTGTGCGAGGCGGCTGTACGCACCTTTTCTTGTTTGTTTGGGGTTTTTTTTTTTTTTTGGCAGGAACAGCAATAGGGAGAAGGATCGGGATGAGGACCCTCATAATCCTTGGTCAGTGCCCTGAGTTCTCAGACTTCATCAATAAAATGCAGGTGTGGGGCTTGAGCCCATGGTTTTCAAACTTCAGAGCTTCTTGAAGTACTACATGTGATTATTGCATGTTTGCACAACACTTGGGCCATTACTTACTTCATATTTTACTGTTTAAGCTGAATTTTTTTAAAGTTTGAATATATCTTAACTTTTTATTTTGAGATCATCTTAGACTTACTTTTAGGTGCAAAATAATACAACTTCCCTATACCTTGCACGCTCCTTCGCAGAATGATAATGCTTTATATAACCATAGTGTTATCAAAACTTTGAAATCATCTCTAATATAATTTAGTAAACTATAGAAATCTGTACTTTAGATAAGTAATAAAATTTTTCCAGATTTATGTAATTAGTTTTTCCTCTTAATTCCCTTTCTCTATTTCTGGATCCCACATGCTGTTTCATTACAATTTCTCCTTATTTTTTGTTAATTTTATCTTTTTAAAGGAAATTTATCATTCCCTGAGATGAAAAAATTAGTAATAATTACAGTCATTCCTTTCAGTCTGTGCCCACCTGATCCATCACATTCTCATTCTTATTTAGGAGAAAGGAGGGGTAGTTTCAGAGACCACTAACCCTCACAGTGGCCATATTTTGATTAGTGATGGCTCCTGACTCTGCCAGCTGATGGCTTGGTTAAAGCGGCATCTTTCTGGGGCAGAGCTCGCTTTTAAGATGATTTGGCCTTAGCAGGAAGGTTCCAGAGCACCTCCTTCCAGTGTGTTGTCTTGGATACCCCTCTGGCATGCTGGGCTTGGGATAATGGGTTTGTTCATAGCTTGTTCTCTGAAGTGGTCCTTGAGTGTGTCCAGTCTCTCAGTAAGATGAGTGACCTTGACATATGTGGGCCGTGCTTTAGTTGTCTCATCAACAACTTCATGAATGCTTCCTCCTTGCTTGGCCTCTAGTCTAGGCACACAGTCAGACTTTGACTCAGAAGAGTTAAGTTTTGTGGCAGGATTCAACAGGCTGAAGTGAGGTGCAGGGAACTGCAGTTAGGTGCCACTGAGTTGAATATGACAACAGATAGGAACCCTGGCCTGTCTTGCATGGTGCTTATCATCCCCAGCACACTTGAGCCCATTGCTGCAGTCACTGAGTCAATTTATCTGAGCCCATTGCTGCAGTCACTGTGTCATTTCATCTGGTTGAGGGTTTTCCTGGTTTTTAGTGACCCTCCATCTTTCCAAGCATTATGTCTCTCTTGGAGGGAAATTGCTTTTCCTAGCAACATGCCCAAAGTGTGTGAGACAAAACTTTGCCATCCTTGCTTCCAAGGAGTACTCTGGCTACACGGTCTTCAAGACACATCTGTTTGTTCTGTTGGCAGTCCATCAGATAGTTTTCTTTATCCCATAGCACAACTGTGTTGGGTAGGGCTTGATGCTGGCTACAAGGTCCTAGGATAACAGAGTAGGCTCTTTGCCCTTTTCTGGTCTTGGCTATGAAAACTTAGACTTCTAAGTAGAGTTTAATAGCAGTGTAATGAAATGTGAGTAAGATACAGTCCAAGGAATTGCTTAAATTCATGAGAGATAAGAATCAGGATCAACACAAAGATGTTTCCTGTGAGGTGGAGGTCAGACATACTTCATTATTTCTTGATTGTTTTTGATACCAGATGTTCCTTCCTTCCTCCCTCCCCAATGGCACTCTCTGCTTGGTTTAAAAATTCATTGTAATACCTGCACAAGAGTCACAGCCATATTCTAAGTTTGGTGGTTTTTTAGGGTGGGAATGCACTACAGATCAAGATTGAGATCAGCTTGGAAGCAACAGGGACAGCTGGGAATCAGGAAACAGACACGTTCTGGAGGGCTCTTGCCCCGTCTTCCTCAGTGCAGGGCAGCTTGTAACGGGCACAGCTACCTCCTCAGTCTCAATGCTGCCACCTGGCCCAGAACATGGCTGCATAGCAGCCAGTACAACTCTTTCAGCCTCTTCTTTGCCTTCCAGATTCCCTGCTGTTGGTCTTGCTAATTGACCCAGCTCATAGCCAGTGTAGCAGCATGATCAGGATTGCTGGCCCCTCAGTCCCCACACTCTGTCCCAGGTCCCTTCCAGGCCTCTCACCACCAAACCCCTCTGGGGGCTTCTGGGCCCCTCAGCTTCAGGCTCTATAATCAGACACTCTCAGGCCCCTGTAGCACCACTTGGTATCTTCATTGTTAACAATCTTCAATGTTATAGTCCTGTGGCCTATGTTATGGCTCTTTTAAGAGGTTCTTGTGGAAGAAGCCCAGGTCCAAACCACTGCACTGCAGGCTCCTCTTGATCTTGAAGTTACCTTTCTCCCTCTGTGGACATGGCTGCTTATCTAATTTCGGTATGTGACCTTCTCTGACATACTGCTCACTGGAAGGTGCTCAGTCCTTCCTCCAGACTAGTAAACTAACCAAACCCTACAAGGTGAGTGAAAGATACCAAAGGCAAGCTGTGACTCAAGAAATACTTTTTTGGCAGAAAAAAAAGAAATTCCTAACAATTTTGACTTGTGTCCAGGGCTAGAAAGACTGTACATAAGTGAAACAGTGGGCTGCAGGGACTGTGGGAGAGGGCAGGGGGTACAAAT